TCTACCTACTCCCTGAAGGTCATCTAGAGTTGACTTGGAATATGCAGAGGATATTGTCCTACTAGGTGAAGATACTGACGAAATGCAGGGTCTTGTGAACGCCTCGAGCAGAAATTTGAGTATGTTTCCCTTGCATCTTGCTGGTTCCTGTCAATGTAAGATGATGCTCCAGGACTGGTGTGCAACGACTTCCAGCTTAATGATAGTGAAGTGGTGGGATGTGTTGACCATTTCACTTGCTTGAGGAGTTGCATCACCCTGAACGATGAAATCTCAGTTTGGATACAGAAGGACCTGTGACACCAACTGGCGAGATATCCGACTATCTATCAAAGAACGAGTGTACTGTGCTGCAATCCATTCTGTTCTGTTGTACGTTGGTGAGACTTGGCCGTTAAAAGTAGAAGACATGAAACAGTTACAGTTTTTCGACCGTAGATGTCTTTGTAGCATTTCTCGTGTTTGATGCAGTCACCGTGTAGAGCAGTATTGACATCAGGCGAAGGTAACTCGATTGATGTGGTAGCTTGGATAGGCACTACGAGTCATCACCTACCTCGACATGCAATGTAAGGGGAAGTTGGATTAGGTTGGAAGAGGGTTCAGAGTGATGAGATCAATACCTGGCATCAGTTGATGAAGTCTCTGACTGTTGGTCTGAGCCGCCTGGAGAGATGTAGACTGCTTCTTCGGGGTCCTTGAGACAGTAGGAGTCAGTGGTTGAGAACACTTAGTGACATGGCTGGAAGTCGGTCAGAATGGTTCCGATGTAATCACACCTCGACATCTTCTAAGGCTTGAATATTCGCACTAACTGCTATCATCACATTGTTTATTCTCTCACACTACTTTGCCTACTGCGTTATCACACTTTTTCTGTCCACCTGTTCTTTGTGCACTTCTGTGAAGTATGGCAACTTGAGTCGATACGTCTGCGTGCAAGGTTCTACCTCGATTTCGTCAATGTGTCAGTCTTTTAAGGTTTCAAAGCTTAAAGCCTTGTCTACACTACATTTATCGGAATAACTGCTTTTATGTTGTGGTTGCTGTGTTGGTTGTAGATCGCAACGGATTGATAAATCTATGGTTCTAGCATGAAATCGGATCCGGAATCTACAAACATGTGACATTTCTTCTTCCTATTGGTTAAGGTGTGTTAGTTATTATTCAGAACTCACTTACTAGCAATACTTACTCAGTCCCCTAAAAGAGAGGAAAACTAAATAGTTCCTTTTTAAAAAATCTAGTAAATTTTGACCACAGTTTTTATCGGAGCTCTATTTGTAGTATGATCACTTACTTGCGAAGTGGTCACTGGGGCTTGACTGGTGAAATATTTCGCCTTTTAGATACTCCAGTATGTTGCAGCTTGGCAATAACTCCCTCTGGGAATACCCACATATGGGCATGCGTTTATGGCCTCTACTACAGAAGTTTTAATCACTGCAACCACGTGGAGGTATTTTCATAAAATTGAAGGTGAACAACTATCGGCGCTTATTACCCAGATACGAAGCATCCATCTAATGCAGTTGTAAAACTCTGCCTACAGACTAGTGGTATGCATGATTCCCAGGGTTACGGGCGGATGAATGATATTTGAAACCGCTTTGGTCACTGGTGACTTGGATTGCAGCGCATGTTGCTCTGCTTTTGAAAGTAACAATCACAGTCGCCACTAGTTTGCAGTTGTTCCAGCTCATCTGAGCCACCACATTTGAATAACTTAAAGCGAGATAGATGGTTTGTTAAGTAGCTGGTACGCATTTCAACGATAACGAAAAGCAACTTGACTGGCCTGGCTTGCTACTTTAATGATCTTGTCTGTAACGCATTTTGCCCTGGGATAAGTTAGTACGGAACCAAGCCAACAAAGTGGAGGTCTGGATGGAAGAATATTAAAATACTAAGGGATCATAAGATATCTAACCTCGACAACTTATCCTTGTCTCCTTTTAGGAGGCTTGTTCTTTTGAGGTCCTACCGTGCCAGAATAATGGTTACCGTTGTGGTGTAAACTGTTACACTATGATGGGAGTCCGAGGGCGAAGTCGTACTGCTGCTAGCTGGATGGGGCGTGACATCAGTAAGTTGTTTCCCTTGAGTGGCCAGCAGTGCCACGCTGATGCTACTTTCTCAACGGAAGGGGGAAGGTTAGAAAAGGTCAGCCCCCAAAATACCTCACTTCCCTGTGGTCTTCCGGTGCCGGCAGTGTGGGGTCCCCTCTTTTCGGCGTTACAGCAACCAAACCTCATGCCAACAATTAGCTGAAGGATGTGTGACAGGCCTCAAGCAGATGTCCCATTGTCTCTGGGGTCATACAAATTTTTTTCTCTTTCAGGTACCTTAAGAAGAAATAGACTTCCACGGTGTGGACATTCAGGAAATAACAACCGGCTACACTCTTCCATCTCAATTCTGTCTCCTCCTTTGCCTTCCCCTCCTGATACTAATATTTTGAATCTAACAACTTCCTCAACTTCTTGTTCTGCTAACGATCAAAGTCATCAAAACCTCATCCCTAGTCTCCTAAGGCCCTTCCATCATTTCATATTGGTGCTTTCAACATCTGGACTGAATTTCAAACCAATCAGACAGCAAGCACGGCTTGCCAGGATTCTGGAACATCCAGCTATGGATGTACATTGTGCAATGGTGGAGAATATTGGTAGCTCAGGTGGATGGTGTTGCTTGTATTGTATCTCTGAGACTCGTATGTAGACGGGACTCGAGTGTGGCTATTAAATTGACCTCTCCAGACTAGTGCTGTGAATCTTCAAAATTCGCCCTACGAGTATCCGGAGACTCACCAGTCTATGCATAGCACTGAGCTGTAGAGCAGAAAGTGCGCTTCTCAATTAGATTTTAGTCAACCGTCTTCATGATGCTCGACTGAATTGAATCTGTAAGAACTATGAGGGGTTGTGAGACTAGGTGATGCCAATTCGTAATCTCCGCCTACGCACCCACCGACTGCAGTTTAGAGGATCCAAAGGATGAATTCTGTGAGAAGTTGTCAAATTTGCTACGGAAAGCAAAACGTCCAGATATAGCATAAAGATAGGCAGCTTTAATGCTTTAAAGTAAGAAAAATGAACTGAGCGAGTCGAAAATGTGTCTTGAAGGTATTTACGGAACTCCATACCAAAGGAATGACAACGCGGCGATCGTCTGTTGCAATTTTGTTCTGACAATCACTTGTTTCTGTCCAGCAGTAACTTCAAGCATAGGGAGAGACATTGTCTCACATGGTGTCCACTAACAGCAAACCAACGATGGACACACATCATATTGCTATGATCCTTCGTTGGAGAGAATTGCCGTTCTTTCCAGAGTACCATTTTGGACTCCGATCACGCGTTAGTGTAGGCACATAGATGTCTGCACCTTACTGGTCGCAGGAAACACGATAGTATAATAGCCTGTCTGTGCTCGTATTTACTGAGGAGCTAAGCATCTATCTGAACATGACGGCGATGTACATCCTGATAATAAGTCCGCAGTAGAAGCAACTGTAAAGACAGTTGGTAACCTACACCCGGAGTTTATGAAACGTCACTGGATTTCCGTGACGTCATTTGAATTGACTGATGCGAGAAGACTGATCCCAGCTGGCTCTGACCACGACGAAGAGTGAAAGCTACTTAAGTCGACCAAGCGTCCTTGTGTCGATCACGAGCAGCGAGAGAGATGGCGAAGGCATCAGCGTTGGGTAACACTCGTAAACTATATAAGCTGATTAGGGAAACCGGGTTAGCGAAACCATCATGGAAAAGGATGGGACACTGATAACCTGTTGGGACAGACGTCTGGGACGTTAAGCGGAACACTGAAGCGCAGTTCAACAGTTCAATTTTTACTTTGCCCTCCTTTGGATCCTGGGAGAATGTCATCGTTCAATCAGCACTATCGACTAAATGTTTTGTGCATCACTTGTTTATCTGTAGTCATTCACTAGTTTACAGCAAGTTCTTTGAATTTTTCAATGATCTGCAAGTTAAAAATTGGTAATAACAATATTTAAATGATTTATTTCATAGAATATTTACTTTTATGCTCGTATGTACATTCCAAGCAAATAAAATATTCAACAAGTAATATTAAATCCTTTGTAGAACCCGTATGGGTGTGTGTTTGTTTTTATAATCACATCATGAGTGAAAGTGGATAAATTAATTATTATTATTATTATTAGTTGTGCTAAGATGAGAAGGATGATCACTTTGCATACTTGTCAGTTTACTTAAGAAAGTTAATTCACTTGGAGAAGTAGCGATTACTTCAGCTAACTGTTGATTTGTTAATTGTGGTCTAGTGTATGTGCACACTGGTAACTGTCCAGTATCTGTTGCAATTTGTACTAATATAGTACGAATAGTTGAAATGCGATCCTTAAACCGAAGAAAACAATTACAAAAAGCAGAGCATGTATAACTACAATTTATAAATGCACATAAGTGAATGAGAATTAACGGCAAGGATCTCATGTCGCTAATTGACAATCAACCTAAAAAAACAAGGTTTCAGACAATTAACATATTTCATCGATTGGTCATTAGAAGATAACCAACTTCATGTTGTTTAGTCCTAAGTGCTGATCGAATCCACTCATGGAGGGGGTCAGGCGTGGCCGGAATATCTTAATGGTAATGTCTCTGACTGCAGCACTGGGTGATGGAGTTTCGAACTTAGACGGGACATCCGTTTTGGTAGAGGTTACAGATACGCCTTGCTGAATGAAAGGTATGAAACCTAGTTCTATGGCTACCTTACAATCGTCTCTATTCAACTAACAGATAGCATATTGGTTTTAAGTTATGGGACCAGTTTGTAAATTGTTCACGTACTATCTTTACAATGGTGACGTCTCTTACAAATGGTAAACTTTTTTAAACGTTCGATAAAAAAATTCACTTTAGGTTGTTATTCACCATAGACTACCAACAGCTGGAGACCTGGAGGCACTAGACAGCTGTTTCCTCATAGTAGGGCACTCAGCAGTGCTCACCCATGACCCCCCCCCCAGGGATATAACTCAGGACTTTCAGACTCTGGCTTCTACTGTTTCAGCAACTGATGCATACCAACCTGGAAAAATTCATTCTCTTTGGGTATTGCCATACCAAAAGATATCACCTAGTTCTGTCAGTATTCAAGTTCTTCAACCTGAATAAAAGCATGGAATTTTGCAAACCCGTTTGATCAAACATTTACGTTCCTATGTTACCAGTAATTGCACAGTGATATGGTCTGAGAGTGAAGCAGTCACTAAACTTCAAGGTGGTAATAGATATTTTCTATCACCTTACCAAGACTCGTAGTGACTTCATCTTTCTGCTTTAAAAATATAATTTCAAAAAGGTTGTTTTCAAGGTCATCCTGTTGACTTCCGATGTAGTAGAGAAGATTTGTAGCACAGGATGAGGTTAATTTCACAGAATGGGAAACTTATGAACTCACAAGACGTCGAAAATAACTTTCTATTATTCTTAGGAAGTAGGTTTTGTTTCATATTTGTGGTCGTTATACAGCAATCAAGTTATGCTTGCAGTTACTACCGTCAAAGTGTAGTGGGTGTTGCTGATAAGAATGGATATAAGTAGTATATGCCGGGAGGGTGACAAAAATCATAGGTAATTACCACCAATGGGTAAGGATTCCGCTAAGAGAAACGCAAGAGACTAGGCAGGCGTACAAAGAGCAAATCAAAGAAGAAGTAGCAGAGCAAATGAAGCATATTTTGCAAATGACGGTTTTAGTGCAAGATGTACCATATTTAATGACTACTGTCCCATCGGTTGGCAACGGACGTTCATTCTTGCATTCCTGACTTTCGCTTCCTTCAAAAGATCAAGAACTGGACAGAGGGATTGTAATTGTGTTGTGTGGTGTGAATACCAGCATCGAATGTTTGTCAACTCTCTTGTAATTACAGATACATATCGTTGATAAGTAGTAGTAAATGTAAAGTTTATTATCAAGATGTCTATCAAGTGCTTTCGACTAGTCAGTATTCTTATTTATTGTTTGAAAGATGATGATCTCTTACTTTCTACCGAATTCTTTCGGAATACCGTGGCTAAATCATCATCCCTTCTACAAAAATAATTTTATTGATCGGTTGCTACAAAGAGAATCATTCATAAATATTTGTGTGTTCTTTCTGTCCAAAGTTTAACTTTCTTCTATGATCTAATTGAAATTCATATTTTAAGCAAAGTTTCTAAGGTCACCAATGAAAGTGAAATAGCTCCCGTCTGTCTTTCAACAATTTTTGACAACATAGTACATCAATTTCCAGTACCGAATAACGGTTAAATTCATAAAGCATTGGGAATTTAATTACTTAGACAGTTCAAATGGAATTAAGAAGCGGAGATCCATCTATAATACTTTTTAACAGTATCCGTCACTCAGAATATCCTTAACTGCTGGATACTAGCCTCAGAAGTAGAATGATGACGTATTGTATCATGTATAGAGTTTTAAATAATAACGAAATCTGAGTTGCGTCAGTAAGCAACGTATGGTTTTCCTAGCTTCTTCATGGATTTTTGAACTGACTTCTCACTGTTTTAAACTATCTTAAGGTTACTATTTATTGACATACTTGTTATTCTCCGTTGGTTTGTTGGGTCGAATTGTTCGACCTCTATTGACATATGGACTCCTATGCGGATGCCTCGATATTGCCTGAACGTTAATTATGACGATTTGGTTGGTTCTGGCTAGCAGAAGAACTCAGGACGCGCGTTCGTCGAACTATTCAATCCAACAAAGCAACGAAGAATAACAAGTATGTCAATAAATAGTAATGAATATTACTCATTGTACAAGAAGTGGCTGTCGTTCCTGTGTGGCATAGTGGGTAACGCCTTGGCGTTTGAAGCGATGTGTACGGGTTCGAGTATCAGTGGGGACAACACCATTGGGATGCAGGGACATCCAGCTGACGAGTCCCGAATAGGACGGGATGCGCGTCCTAGGTTTTCCTGCTAGCCACAACCAACCAAATTGCCTTAAGGTTGACAGCGTGATGAGAAAACTGATAGTCATATTGTCTGAAATTCACATGACAGGGTGAAACACTTTTTGTAGAACCCAGTAATAATGGATCATGGATTTCTTCTAACTCATGGGCTACAAATTATGACACAGAATAAGGGATACTGATTACTGGGATACTGTCTTCACACCGTTGAAAGACAAAACAAAACAGGAAAGGCTACATTTATTTCTCCGGAAAGAAGAGGAAACTAGTTGAATTTATGTCTGCTTATATAGTTATTTTACTGAACCAACAATTTTCAAGTTTATTATCGAAAATTTGTCTTCTCAGACACTGGCTACTGATGGCCTAGGTAGATGTCAATAACGCCATATTTGACCAAAGTTAATAATAGACCAATAAAGTTTGAATGACCCTAACTTTGATGAAAGTTAAAGACGAATATTCAGACCACATTTTACTTGGAAAACGCTGACTAGTCAGCTGCCTATTTGTCCGTCCTAACACTTTCCACTTAGTTTCGTCGGTTCTAGTATGTCTTCGACTGAGATCATTTAAAGATATAGTGTAGGTTGTCAAACCCTCTGTGATCTTCTAATTCGTTATTCCATTTGCTTTTTTGACCGTCGTTCACTTGACTTCTTCATTCCTCCCCACAAGCTGTGTATTGGTAAAGTTTCTCGAGGCTGGTTGTTCGCATCAGATAGACCTTCACTTTTTCTGATGTGGTTTACACCCGTCGATCACAACATTCCTCTATCTCTCACCGTGTATGTTGCAGGTCCCATTTCGCGTTTTATGACAACAGCTATCTATTTCGGTTTGATGACTCGAAAATCACCCAGCCATGTTGACTCTGGGTTTCGTAACATGGCGTTTTTTTTAAACTCATCTTACTTCTTTTTGCTACTACTTCCCTGTACTTTTAAGTTAGGTCATCCAAGATTATATAAAAGTGTTTTCAGCAGGTGACATTTCTTTTTCTGCTTGGAGGTTCGGTAATTCAAAACAAGTCTCTGGAAAACTCCTTCTATCAACGACCCTTCTTCCTACTCTTTAAGCATGGCTCGTTGACGACCGATCAAGGTATTTACATGAGAATCAACAGGTTGTTGCTTTGATGAACACACTTCTGAACAAACTGAATTTAAAGGGACATCCCAAGGAGATAGTCTATTAATCTAATGGATGCTCGAAAGGTTCGAATTCTGACGATTTGTAGAAAGGCATCTAACATTACAACTGATCTAACCAACATAATTTTAAGATACATCCAAGATATTTCTGCCATTATGAGAAACACTGTAAACTGATGGGTACGTAATGCTCACCTAATATGAGTCAGGTTAACCTTCGGATTCATTTATTATAATAAATATGAAAATACGTTTGCTGAATGAGGTTGTCTCAGACAGTTAAACCGAATTTAGGAATCACTTACTTCAATGAAATTGCATTGGGATGATATCTGAAACAGAAGATACACACCATGTCTTTGTTGTCCAATCACTACATCAATAGTTTAGAGACATAAGAGATTAGCATAATACAAAGTATTCCATAGCAGATATAAGAGAACGAGTAGTTTCTAAGTATTCATATTGTTTGCAAGTATGAACCATCTTAAATCTTATTAGGTCTAACAAATAACAAATTAAGTGATATTCTATTCCTCAAAATAAACATCTTGGTCAATTCATTTTGGAGGTTCATGGTCGATTAGATTGATTCAAAAGCGGGAGAATTCATTATTAGTAAAAATCAGCCAATATACCATAAGAAATATATCCTAGTTTACGACTTCTCATCCATGTCAGCCTAGTTTAGGAAAACATTAGAATTTAGAAACGGCTGGAATAAACAATGACTGCAGGCTATGATGAACTAACACCAGATGTTTATAAAGATCGTCATATATTATTGATTGGATTAACTGAAGTGTTAATTAGAGTACAGGAATCAAATATGCTACCCTCCGATTTGTCCAAATTACTCTTGTCCTGATCTTCAAAATTGGAGACAAACTCTTCTATGATAATCACAGTCTGACCAGCATGGTGTAATCATCAAACGCTCAAGTGAAGCTCAGGAACAGCAAACCCGAGAAAACCAGGCAACTTACAGATCTGCTGGTGAATGTATCGATCAGATACTCACCCTCTCTCCACCAGGTCATCCAACATAAAAACACTTACCCGCACCCGACACTAGCTGTATTTCTTGACCCGAAAGTTACATTCGATTTCATCGACCGAGAGGTCGTATGGTAGTCTTTTACTGAAAGGGATGCAGGGTAAGTATATCAGTCTGTTGAAGACGTGAGCGTGTTACAGCTTGTGGTGAGGTATAAGGTGAGTTATCTACTTGAGAGTATGCCCATCAATGATGTACTGCTTCTATTCACATTAGCTTTGTCGTGAACGTGCTTATTGGCATCTCCTCCAACTTGTTTGATTCTATCGCTATTGTCCTTATCACAGAGAATACCTTAACAGAACATGGTATACGGATGACGGTTCTGTTGAGTGAAAGCGCCAATGAGAGGCAGAGTCTTCTGGACATATCGATTGGCAATTCGAGAATGGTTGAGATGCTTTCTCACTATACAAATACAAAGTGGTGTTTTAAGACTGTATTGCCTTAAACAGTGGCGATTGTGTTTTAGCGTATTGGTAAGTAGTATTTATGAGCGAAGAAATCTCGGCATGGCTACAAAAGGGCCGACTGTATATCGATAATTAATGCTTTGTATTGCATCAGTGTGATATCCGATTATCTATGAGGAAAGAGTGCAATGCGCAGCCCTCCAACCCCTTCGACTATATTGATGTGGAAGATTGTCATAGGTTGTAAAGGATGTGTTGGGACTTCAGCTGTTCGACCATGACCGTCTTCAAAGCATGAAGCGTGTGTCATACATGATTTAGCCTTCAGTAACACAGAATTAAGGTATAGAGTTTTATGCCGAAGAGAAAAGTTAGTTGATGAAGTTGTGAAACTTCTCGATTCAGATATCTAAGACATTTGTTACGCATGTACAGTCACCATCTGTCTTGTCACTCAGTCTTAGTTGAAGTAGGTTAAGGCTGGTTGGATAAAGGGTAGCAGCGGTCAAACTAAAGCATGCCATGAAGTCTGCGTTTGTAGAGGAGTGTGCACTTGACGGTTGGGGTCCGCGTGGTCCTCGAAATGACGAAACTGAATGTATAGAGACTCTGCTTAATTGTCGACTACTTCCCTCACATTTCATACACTTTTGTCAAGTTGAATGAAATTCTTCCCCCATTCACCTTTTCTTCACATGCTTCTATGGTGCCAAAGTGTGAACGTTTTCATTGAACTTCATTTTTCAATTTCTTTCTCCTATATGCATTTCTCTGTTATGATATCACTCTTTTTTCTACCCACTTGTTATTTGAATGGTGGTATCAAGTTTGTCAACTTGAAACGATACAATTCCATACCAGGTTATCCACTGACATGTTTGTGTATAACTCTATTGTTAGTCACATAGTGTAGTCAGACAGTGTATCGTTAATTTTTCCAACAGTGCAAAGGAGGTTCTACACTCGAAGCTTTAGGAAATCGGATCCGTGTGTCAAAAAGCATATGGGTTTCTTTCAAACAGTATATGTACCAATCAGTTTAAGGCATACTATTTTATTGTTCTATATTCACTAAACCTAAGGTACTGTTGAACAAAGAATACTCATTTCATGACAGCTTCTATAAACGACTGGTATTAGAGAGGTGATGCTTTATCGTCTTAGTTCAGATTGCTTATAAGTGTTTATAAGTGCATACACTCAACTGTTTGCATGGTCAAACCTACAACCCATTCAATTTTTACAGTGAACACGTCATTGCTGGATAAGTAGACTTATATGTAGTTTGGAAACCTAAATCTAGAAACCAGTTTCTTCAAATTCACTCAGTTGTAAATTTAGAATACTTAGCATCCAATGTTACATTCGGTTTTGCTCGGAACATTATCTATCTTACAGGTTGAATAACAAATTACATTGATACATGAAGGTTGTAGGTTTTGTCATTGACACTTAGGGGTTCACATTAACAAGTCACCCGATAACAGACCGCAACAAACGTCTAGTCTTTCTTTGTTTTAAACGTCAATCCACTATAACAGAACACCTTTAATCGTTTTCTTAGAAAATATTTATCAACAACTGCCTACGCTCGTTACTGAAGCTCAGATGGCTAGAAAGAATAAGCAACAAGGAACTGTGCCCGGGCAACGAACCAACCAAGAACCTGTCGCCTAACAAATATGCAGAAGGAAGTGGAGATGGGTTGGGCATGCACTGAGAAGACTATTCGGGGAGATCATGCGTCAGGCACTCGAGCAGATGGGAAACGACGAGTTGGACGTCCCAGCTGAGGGTGACATGGAGGAGATTGTGTGAGGAAGAAATGAGAGCTTGTGAGCAGTCGTGGAGCGAGGTCGAAAAGGTTGCAAAGAAGAGAGTGGAGTGGAGACGTGCTTCTGAAGCCCCATTAGGAACCCAAGGGACAAATAATAATTTAGTTGAAAAATGTACATTTGTTGAAATGAAGCCTTGAACAGACCGAAATTCTTATTAACGAACTATAAAATACACATACTGTCATTCCTTGCTTTTTATTTAACATCGTTTGTCCAGATAGATTGATGTCATATATTCTCAGTAATTTTTGAGTTAAATTGTTGATTGCTCTGATAACTGTCATAAAGAATGATAACTGAAGGAACGAAAACACAAACAGAATGTCTTACTTTAATGGGGTGAAGAGAACAAATGATTAACTTGGAAATTAAAAAAAAACAATTTTCATCTTCCTAATTTTGTTTCACATCAAGATTGCAAGGTTATCATTGGTTAACATTGGTTTGACCTTGTCATCTTCGGCAGATTACTCTCATTCAGTGATCTTGTTGTAAGGGTGGTGTTAAGTTACGTATGATTGGAAATGGCTGAATTTTATTTTGACACACTGGCTAATTAGTGAGCAACGCATTCCAAACCAGCTGAGTCGACGAAGGTAAGCCTATAGCCTAAACATATGATTTACTTTCGAGGGATATGTTTCAAAGCCGTATTAGAGAACAGCATAGGATGTTTAGTACTGATGGATAGTGGTTAGCAGTGGAATCCAGGAGGCACATTTCGTCCTATTTAGGATTCTTCTCAGTGAATGATGTTATTCCCACCGGGACTCGAGAGCGATCGCTTCAAACGCCAGAGCGTTATCCACTACACCACTGAGCCACTTCTTGTCGAGGCATGTGCACAAGAGCTCATATGCCAATAAAAACCAATCAATTCGGTCCAATCAGCGACGGTATAATACAAGTAATTATACTAGCATAGGATCTTGCACAGAATTCTGGTCTTTTAATATATAGTCGGATATCTCACCAACGTCATAAGTGACGTCAGTTAGTGAGTGGTGAACAGATATTTTGTTTTCGAACAGAGGTTTCATCAGCATTAAACCCATCTGTACTGATACCACTTCCCAAGTAAGGGAAACAGTCAACACGCCCCACCAACTTCTCTTAGCTTAAGCTGATGGTCGGTATGGACCAGTTATCAGGCGCGCTACTGCATTTAACATGTGTAAAACGCAAGCCAAACGCTCAGATTTTGGCTCCAGGTACTCGGAAGACTCGAGATCTTATCCACATCTGGCCTAATTAGGCTTTGCCATCTGAGTACTGCAAATCAACTAGGTGGACTCATGGTTTATAGAGTTATATACTTCAGCATGTCTGTAGCAAAGTTAAAAAGGAATGGTGACAGTGGACATCATCGAAAGACATCACTGACTGTCACTTATTCAAATAACCAATTGCAAAAGCCTTTAAATGGCTGCTTATCTTAGAGTAATCAGCTTTTATTAGCATAACATACTTGCTCAGTAGTCCTTTCACATTAAGACCTTGCACAACACTTCTTGGTTGTCAGAATCTAACTCTACTTTCAGGATAGAAAATATGCCATCGGTCAGTCAGAAATAATAATACGATGAAAAACTTATCAACACAAACTTTACTATGTTGAAACTTAGCTAGTTTTCTCGAATATGTTGTTCTCATGACACCTATGACATCGCCACGGATGAAACCCAGGACCTTCAGGCTCCGTGACTAGCTTGTGGCCAATGAGCCACTGGGTTGGAATCCAGTGGCTCATATTTTCAACTTCAGTCAGTTCACGACATGAGGTGATTATCACCCAGCGTCGTAGTTTAGTATTTGTCTTCATGTCCACCAGGTTTGTCTCACCGGTCACGACTTCTCATTGGAACTTCAGGAATCACGTCTTGAAGCCAGTCACCAAATGAGCACTGGAAATATAGACCATTGTATTCCAAGCCAGTGGCTCAATGACAATCTGCTGGACACGGAACCTGAAGGTTGTAGGTCCGAACCCTGGTGAAGTCATGTATGTGCACTGCCGAGGAGTCCAATACTAGGACGGAACAGCTGTCTAGTATTCTCAGGTTTCCAATGTTTCAGAAGCTGGTCTCAATCTATGATAAATACCAGCTTGAAATCAATAAATCCCCACAAACCCCCAAAATGAATCAATAACTTTCTGCCTCTATCCTTCAAATGTCCAGATCTATTGCATCAAATCCAGCTGCTTCGGTTTTAAAACGATCTTCTAAGTTTTGACGAGGATTAAAGGATTCGCGTTTATACCTCATTCAGTTTCATTTTGGTTGTTTGGCAACTGAAGTTTAGCTGCATACCATTTCAACTGTTATTTACGGTATTCCGTTTATTTTTCCAGCCGCCCGTCTTAAGGGGGTTACAGTGACCTATCCTTATTGATCATTCTATAATGGTTCACATCTACAACACTACATCTTTCTCTTTAATAAGTACATCATCTATTACATTTACCAGAAAAACCCAGCATTTCTGTCATGAAAGCTGTCACCTTAATGAGCACAATAAACTGAGGTACTCATGAACATCACCTTATTACTGGCTGGATAAAAAAGAAACTGACTGGTTCATGTTATCAGTATCAGCAAATTTGAAATATTCGTTGCTTGAGGCATTATTATTGAGCAGTAATAAAAGTTTGTAGCTTAAAATTAGAGTAAAAATCAGTCAGAAGACTTCTTCAAACTTTTCTGTTAGGATCTTAAGTTGTTACCTCATTTGGTTAACTTATTATAGAAGTGCTTTCTTTATAAAAAAAAGAATAACAGTAACTTTGTTTTTGAAGAATACTATCAGTCTAAAGAGCTGCAACATTGCTAACACATGAAATCACTAAGTAGGCAATTTATAGTTGGGTTATAGATTTCTCAATAATCAGCTCAAGTCAACAAATGGCATTGTGAATAGCTTGAAGTTACTGAGATAAATGTTATGCCTGTCATGTAGCCGCATATCTTAACATGTGAATCAAATTAATATTTAGTCGCCTCTGCATTTCAATCCACCTTGTAGTTTTTTTTCGAAAAGTTTGCATATTTTATGGTTTGCCCTGTAAGATTCGACGAGTCGCAGTTTGAACAAACAGATTTTACATTTTTTATAGATATTCAAACCAAGTTTGTCACTGGGTAAATGATATTCATACAGACCAAATTGCAACGCTTCGCATCATCATAGAACAGAGTATAGAATGGCAGTCAACTCAACTCTACCTCACCTTCATCGACTTTGAGAAGGCCTTTGACAGCGTCGACCAAGAGGTAATTTGGAAACTGCTTCAACACTACGGAATACCACAAACCTTTATCAGCCTCATTCAACAACTATATGAAGATGCCACATGCCGGCCAAGTAATTCACAAAAGGAAGCTCAGTGATGCTTTTGAAGTGAAGACAGGAGTGAAATAAGGCTGTCTACTATCCCCCAAGATATTTTTGATTGTGGTCGACTGGATCATGCAACAAAGAGTGGGGAGCGAGAAGAGGGGGATACACTGGACAGATGAAAGAACCTAAAAGATTTAAATTTCGTTTAATGTCACACAAACTTGAAGATCTACGGGCGAAAACTAATAAGTTGTCAGAAGAGGCAGGGCAGCGATAACGGGACTTCAAGTGAGTATAGAGAAGACAGAGGTGATGAAGATACCCAACCAACAACAACAACAAACTCCAATCATCATCAACTGGAGAAACTTAAGGGAAGTAGCCTCTTTCACCTATCTAGGCAGCACTGTTTCAACTACACGCGGCGCTGACGAGGATGTCAAAGTCAGAATCGGAAAAGCAAGACAGGCGTAAAAACCAGTGTGGAAGTCTGAGCTCAGCATGTGGAAAAAGATCTGGATTTTCAACACCAACGTCAAATCAGTGCTTCTGTATGGCTCGGAGACTTTGCGCGTTACGAAAGGCATTTCCAACAAACTACAGACATTCATTAACAACTGCTTACGCTCGTTAATGAAGATCAGATGGCCGGAAAGAATAAGCAACAAGGAACTCTGACAACGAACCAACCAAGAAGCTATCGCTCAACAAATATGCACTGGAAGGAAATGGATATGGATTGGGCATACACTGAGAAAGCCGATTGGGGACATCAGCGTCAGGCCAGGTACTCGAGTGGAATCCCCATGGGAAGCGACTAGTTGGGCGTCCGAGGTGAGGGTGACATGGAGGAGATCGTGCGAGGAGGAAGTGAGAACTTGTGGGCTGTCGTGGAGCCAGGTACAAAAGATTTCAGAGAACAGAGCGCATTGGAGACGTGCTACTGAAGCTCTATGTTCCATTAGGAACCCAAGGGACAAATGATGATGAAATGATATTCAGTTTTTGATATTTGTATTTCCCAATAAATGTAAAACAAAATAAATATGTTTTAACTAACGTTTCGTTATCCAATGCTAATAGCTTTATCAAAGTTATAGTAGACCGGAATTTACAGAATTCAAGCTTGTTCATATAAGATACCTTGATATGTGTTTTTCTGGAAGGATTATTCTGCCTTGTCAAATTATTGAACAAAGATGATATGCATACGCAGTGTATTGTGTGTGAAGAGTGTATGAATTACAGATTGAGATATAGACCACCAATTGACTGTTCAGTAGGATGGAAAATAGCTGAATGAAGTGGAATGGTACAGTTGATGATAACAGATGTATATCATTGGATCCGGAAATACCAATTCGTGATTAACAATCAAAAGAGAAAACTACAAAGCATACTCACGACACAACACATGGCCAATTTAACAACAGCAATTGAAAAATCAAGCGGACGATACAGAGAAAAACGAAGAAAAGTCCTCAGGAAAAAGCTGATCAAAACCTCAGAACTACCCATAACCGTCGAAACAAACCACTATGTCGTCAACTTATCAAAACAACTACTAACGAAATGGAAGAACTTCCCGTTCAGAAAAGAATGAATCACAACACAAGAGATGCCTCCAAACCAGAATTTCTGCTGCATCAGAGTCGTCACTTAAAACATCATGATTAAATGAGGCCACTCAACAAGAAATACGACAGGCATAAGCAATGTCACGCTCGGATGAACACTCAAGAACAGAAAACACTAAAAAGGTTGAAAAGTGGGTAAGATTTCGTTATACTTCCAGCAGACAAAGGACATACTATGCTAGTCATGGACAAAGAAAATCACATCAAGCAGACAGAAGACTTACTCAAAGACGAAAGTGTACATCAACCCCTTGAAACCAACCCTATTCAAAAGTTCGACAACTAGATCAATAAAACCTTGAACAAACTCTTCAAAGCAGAAGAAGTAACAAACCAAGACAAATGGCGAGTGAAGTCGAATGGACCCATCCTTCTTCGGTTCTACAGCAGACCAAAACTACACAACCCAGACATCCCTCCCGCAACCAGTAAATAGTCTCACTTCCGGGAACTCCAACAAACAACACATCAAGAGAACTTTCGAGAAAACTAAAATACCTTGTTCAGTCATGTAGAAGTTCGATCAAATCACCAACACAGTTCTTAGAAAAGATCAAAAGGATTAACATAGAAAACCACGAATTAATGATACACTTCCATCGGACCCCAGTTGGCCAAATAAACTATGTCCCCCCCTACTCACTGAAGACAAAAGTTTTCAGATCGCACAAAACTTCGACATTCAAGTCTGATGGAATTCATTGACCTTTGCCTGATAACATACTTCCAATTCACTGGCAAGATATATAAACAGATGAAAGGGACTCCAATGGGGTCACCGATATCCGGACTAATTGCAGAAGCAGTAAGTGATGCATAGACTGGGAACCATGATCCTACCTGTGATTAAACCAAAAATTTAGATTCGTTATGTGGACGATAATATCGTCATCATAAAAAACGATGATATTCAAAACACTCCTGGTTTGATCAACAACGTTTTTAATGATATCAAATTCACAATGGAGAAGGAGTCAAACAACCGATTACCATTTCTGGGCGTTTTAGTCAGTAGGAAAAATGGCGGAAAACTGGAGACTCAGGTGTACAAGAAGCCAACACACTGACCAAATCCTCAACTACAGCAGCATCAACCCAACAACGCACAAAATTAGTTGCATGCAGACTATTTATAAGAGTGATAACACACTGCAGTACAACTTCATGGAGAAACGACGAAAATTACTTGATGTCTATCCTAAGGAAGAACGGCTACTCACGAAACTTTATCAGAAGATACTTATCCCGTGCACTATCAACTAAAAAGTTATCGACAGAAATCAAAAAACGGATCATCCTACCATACATAAAAAATATATCAGTGATCACGACACGACTACTGAAACCACTTGGAATTGGTGTGGCTCATAAACCAATAAATTCCCTGCAAACACTATTATTCAGACCAAAGGATGCAATAATCGAAGAAGATAAACCGAAAATCATTTGGAAAGTCAACTACAACAGCTGTAGTCAGTACTACAGTGGACAAAGTGGTTGCCCTCTTCACCTTCGTCATTCACATGAACACCAATTGGCTATTAAACATCACGGCATTTCATCACTCATTTCGATGAATACAGAAATTTTAGACGGAGTGAGGAAACACAAGTAATATCAGAGAATTCCTGGAAGCTTGGTATTCAGGTCAGTCAGTCAGTCAGTCAGCAGTAAATAGATGTATGGATATAGACCCAATCTATCAACCAATAAGAAAAGTGACAAACGACAGAAATGGTCAGAAATCAAGCAGAGGAACAGTCAGCAGGAACATCTATGCAGTCAGTGACACAACAGTCAAAGGGAGCAACCAATCATAAGCCAGTTGATCTGGGCCAGCTACTAAGTCACTCACGGAGAGATATTGACAGCTCACTTGATACTGATGTTAGTGATGACGTCGTCTAGAAAGGAGATGGAAGCTTCACGACTAAATAACTCAGCTCAGAGAACCTGAGCTTTAAATATTCTCCACCATTACAGATTGGGATTTGTATATACACGTGGTGATAGTTCTTATCTTTTGGATGTTGGCTACGTCAGTATGTTGGAGTGGGTTGATATCAAATCAAACTACGTTTTATCCCTTCATTCCTATTTAGACAATCTTAATCCCACTTTATGTGAAGAGATTCTGCTATGAGACATTCTTCATAATTTCTAAAGCCTTTCTGAATAATTTCGACATTGTCAAAATCGTTCTTGTGACCTGAAATTATAACATGTTGTGCCATGGCTCAAGTGCTTTTAAGCTTTTTCAGGTCCACTGGATTTCTAGGCGGTCGGGTGGAATCTCTTCGGTGTTCATTTTTTCTGATTTGAATTTCCTAGAAAGTCTGTCCTATGTGTACTGCATCATAGTCTGAGAGGTGTTCTTTACCTAGTTGCAAGGCTTTACCACCAATCAGTGACTTCATGTGTTATATTTATTTCCCAATGTGAATTATGTTAAGTTTTTGGAAACCTAATCCTACTTTCATCTTCATCATAGGCTGAGGCAGGTGGCTGAGCAGGATTTGGAACGTGAACCACCTTCACCTCAGTTCGTACACTTTATAGATCGCACTAACCAAGTTGATTTTCTAGAGATCTGAGCTTAGGCAGAAAAACCCATTTGATGGCTTTACCACAAACCACGTATTCTTTGAAGGCCACTAAGACAGAGTACTCTCAAAACCGAATTGCAGTACACTAAAGTGTTACACTACTCGCTGTGGTAGCTACACTGAAAATCTAATCGACAAACCTTAGTTACTACTGAGTACCGATGATTTGAAAGGGACATAGGTTGACATCCGGTTACCTATTCTTGTACATGGACCATTTCCACAATTGGTCAGTTGGTATACAGTCTCTATCTTTAGCCAGAATATTGCCAGTCTAAATCATAGACAGAACATCCGGTTCCTCAAGGTGGCTTGAACATCTTGGTGATTAGCCGAAAGTAGCATGCAAGTTTAGTCAAGAAGTCCCTTCTAATTGGCCCCTAAAACTTAAAACATGTGTTTGTCGTTTCTTTTGCCTTCAATAGCCATACTCTATTGCTATAAAGTAGGTTATTACAGACTGATACAAACTATACTTGTAATTCACTTGGAATCTGTTTATTTGACCAGTACTAACTGTGCTTCAAATCGAAGAACGAAAAAGTAACATACAGTATTTACAGCGAGATTTTCTCATCAGCTTAATGACGCTTAAGGCCGGCAAAAATAAACATTTATCTAAGTAAGAGGTACTTCACTTCTGTATAAACAGAATACAGGCTTATATTTGAAAAATACAGAATGCCAAACAACTGCTAAAGCTATTGAAAGCAAAATCTTGCTGTCACATTTTCTTGCCAAATATAGACAGGATCGAGAAGTTAAGTAGTCTGTGATAAACTGATAACTATGAAAATACTTATGCATTTATCTAGGAATCTAAAGCTTCAATATTTCATTAGTGTCAGGGGTGGACAATTTAAGAGGAAAAATAGTGAAAATATCCGTAGCTGAGTGTATGAATGTTCAATTAAACAGAATGTCAATCAATCAGAAAGATGTGACTTTCTTCAATTTATTCCAACATGAACAGTCAACCAATCACACTGAAGCGACCGCAACGTACTCCCTTGAAAAAAGGAAATCAGTTATTCACATAGGTATATATTACTCCAGGAAAGATGGGATTAAATATTGGCCAATCAGTTCAGCATACGTTCATACGCCCATTAAGTAACTGATCAAGTTGAACTCAGACAAAGTAGTACGTTGTAAGTATACAAGTTCAATCAACTTACTTCTCTTCCTCATGATTAATAGCAGATAGTGGAAACAGCTGTTCATTATTCTTGGTTTTTACTAGTTTCCTAGGTAAAATAATGACTACCTAGAGATAATAAAACTAACTGTTTTTAATGCATAGATGATGGCGATTGCTTAAGAGTACTTATATTTATTTATTTGTCCATAGGGTTCCTAGTGGAACATAGGGCTTCAAAAGCACGTCTCCACTCTACTCTCTTCTCTGCAATCTTTTCAACCTCGCTCCACGACAACCCACAGGCTCTCATTTCTTCCTCACACAATCTCCTCCATGTCACCCTAAGCTGGGATGTCCAACTCGTCGTTTCCCCTTTGGATTCGACTCGAGTGCCTGACACATGATCTCCCCGAATAGTCTTCTCAGTGCATGCCCAATCCATCTCCACTTCCCTCTGCATATTTGTTGAGCAATAGGTTTTTGGTTGATTCGTTGCCAGAGTACTAGTACTTTTATATCACTTTTATTTTCTAATCTAATGAATGCTAGATGTTAAATTTGTAAAATGGTACTCACCTATGAGCTATAAAACTACAGACGTGAGATTCACATTGTCTCATTTACTTGAATATATCATGGTCTAGACAGTAACCTTTTACTGCATATATGTATGCGATAGAATATGATGCAGAGGGATGCGTATTATAGTGTGCATTTGTCTAGTTATTAATCGATGGATTTTATCTTCGTTGTAGGAATTTACTTACCGACTTGTCAACTATCAGGTTAACCCTGATTAACTTTCATTATCTGATGATCAGGTTGTAAGCATTTTGTATTACTCACGTCTTTATACATAAATAACTGTCTTATTTCAGTAATGTTTCGCAATCTTGATGTCGTTGGTATATGTACACGAATCAGTTGACCAGTTCATGCTAATAAGCATATTCTTATTACAGCAGAATATCTGATCATAAATCTTAAAAACTGTACGTTATACAATTGTTACTGTCACTATAGACATTAGCAGTTAAAATAATTGCAACAATAGTCCTAAATGGGGTCGTTGGTGCATGTTGTTGAGGAGTCCCGCATCAGGACAAAACAGCCCATGATGAACATCAACTTGACATCAATCAGTCTCTTGAAGCAGACAAATTGAACAATAATAGTGATGACAATAGTTGTAATGATAATAACAATACAGCAACAACTGGAACTAACCTGGTGCACTAATTCATCATGACTTTGTAATAAATTTAAATTACTCGCCTGAAAATTATTGTCAAGGCATTCACGTTCATTGTACAATGCAGATAATTCAGAATTCTTATTGAATAACAAGAAACGGTGAGATTCTTTCAATTTTCTTAAATCATTTTGTGCTTGTCTTAACTGTATTTGATTTATGAACGCATATTTTAATTAGGTAATTAATATATATATATATATATATATATATATATATATATATATATATATATATATGAGTGGTTTTCTTATCAGAAGTCTTTTGAATTTATTTCACACTTAAATACTTTGGTAGGACGATGGTTAATTTGAATATGCTGAACATCAAAAAAAGAAAATCAGTTTTTGTTTGTTCGTATTTATCACCTGGATTTCCTTCTCTGGCTTCATGAAGATTTTGAATTTCTTTATGGTCAGTTTATTACTTAGCTACCTTTTTCGACTTTAAATGAATAAGAAACACATTCTGTTGAAGAAAAAAGTTGTACTCGATCGGATCTTGTAGCAACACTATGATACTGACTTTGCTTAGTAGGTATATTAAATACTGCCTTTTAGAGATACATTACACCGTAAACAACTTCCTGGGATATATGGAGACTAGTAATACAAAACAACCATATACGTAGCATGCAACAGGACACCTGGACTTGATAACTATCTAAGTAATATGTGTGACACGCATAGCCTCAGTAAACAGAACATTTTTGGTGCAACGTCCAGTATAATATATCGTCTCACTTTGTACATAATAACAATATGTACAGTGAATGACTCACTACTACTAATTCCCTGCCATATTCTTCCGGTTCATGGAATGCCTGCAGCATCTACCTTCCTGAAACATGCAGGGTGAGAAAACCTACATGCATGTTACTTTCTTGTTAGTAATTGTTAGCAAAGTGTGTTATCAAGGAAAACTCATGCTGTTCAATTGTTCTAAACACATGGTGATAAAAGTAGCAGTTGCCACCTTTAAGAATTAGAGATACTGGTGACAATTATTTGCAAGAATGCTCCACAGAATAGTAGGCAATAAAATGTTTTACTGTGTTTTCTGACTGGACATAATAAACTACTAACAGTGGTTATCTCCTGAAATTTAGTTTCGTCGACCACTAGTTTCTGGTTTCCAGTAACTTAAAATATTGGAAGAGATGCTGTCTGACTTAGTCATCGCTGATATCAATCCAACAGTGGATGCTAAGATGGCATCATTCTAATTATCGTTTTCCCGTCTACAATCAGTTTGAGTGGGAAGAAGGTTACAGTTCTTCAACTCTTATTGAATTAGAGAACGGCTGACCAGATCTTAACCAGGATAAAGCGAAAGGAATGAAGGGATTATCTTCAGAAGGTCAGATATTGGTAGATAAATTGACTGCAAGGCAATCCTAGGTAGGTGAAGAAGAGATAGTGGTGTTTGACTGACATATATTGTTGACCATTTTGGTAGATAAAAAGGAGATGAAATACGTTGAATCCAAATGACTAATATAGTCTCTAAATTCTTGGGTTTTATAACTCTCCCGCACTTAAATGGAATTCAAAAAAAAAAGAATCCACGGAAGCGAAACTAGTTTCAGGCCTGAGTGAAGGTTTAATGATCACATTTTGACAGAATTTGAATGCATTGGCTGGCACCTTACACTTGCTGCGTTTCTAGGCCTTCAGACAGCATTTAACTCAGTCAGTTAAGAGATAGTGTCAGTCTGCTAACTTGAAGGGAGCAAGATAAAAGGTGCTTCAATCATACTAAATCACTCATGTAACGGCTTACGGTAGTGTTCGTCAGTGACATCTTTTATTACAATTCCAATTCTATTATACTGTGGGTATGGTGGTTTACATGATTCTGGTTAATTAACACTGTTCAGGTCAAGCTGTGCTAGCGGAAGAGCATCTAGTTAACTTTAAAACCATGTATGACAGAATCTTTTTAGGGGAAGAAACTAGAAAAATGTTGGTTAATCTCAACACATCTTCAGTATGTTTAGTATGGATTTCATACCTATCAACTGCGACAGGATATTTCACAAGTGGTTTACATTGAAATAGAGCCTAACAAAATAGCTAACCGATTAGTTGCGACACTTTTCAAATCAGATATGTTGGAAATCGCTGATGACATCACAGTATGCGTGAAGAAGGTTTACAGCACATCTGTCCATATCCGCATTTAAAAGATGTTTATCTGTAAATCAAAGTATAAGTAGTATACTGTATTGCTATTGGCACTAACCAAATTTTCCCCCGTAAAAAGTGACATTGTAAAGAGATAACCTGCTTTCAATTACAGGTATCTAAGTAACACTGTACATTCATAGAGAAAAAGCAGAATGAGCTGTATTGAGGTAAGATGTAGAGAGTTAGTTAGGACAGGCAACTCAGGTGCAAAAACTCTACGCTTATAATGATTCAGACGCTTATGTGTTTGTTTCATACGCCAAATAATTTTAGATGAGTAGGGATTAGGATGATAGAATTAAAACAACAACAGACCATCATATCACTGACTACTCATCTGATATGGTCAGAGTAATGAAGAAAATGACCTTTTTCTCTGCAGCAGTAATGTTAGTAATTTATTCGGGAGACTCTTTAACACCAAATTATTATGCTGGGTAATGACTGAAGATGAAACGAAAATCTGGATCACGGCGAGATTGGAACCGGCGACCGCCAGATTTCCTGCCCGATATTCTATCAACTGAGCTACGATGTCCTACAGCTGACCAGATTTCTATTTCACTTCGATCGCCGAGGGTTTTGTCCGACTACCATGTGAATTCGTGACGCATCACTACCACTTGGTCGTATTCACACCGGCTGCTTAGTCAGAACTTCTCACAGCAATCCAAATCTAACTGAGTTAGAGAGGGGGAGCATCATATTGATTATCATTTGACTATCTGAGATAGCTGTAGTTTGGCAGATTAGTATTTATACTGGGTGATAACTGAAGATGAAATAAAGATTTGGAGACTATCGGGTGGCAAACCCGGTGTTCGCTGGTTCAAACCCCGCCGCGGTCCAAATTTCCATTTCACCTACAATCATCCACCCAGTATAAATACCAGTCTGCCAAACTACGGCTATCTCAGATAGTCAAATGATAAACGAATTATTGTGCCATCCATTAAGCTGGAGTTGTTGACCATGAACCATGGGGTTTCTGAAGTATATTCCAAGAGATGCACGTTTCATCAAAAAAGACTCCATTGGTAATGCACTGACGAAATTGAGATCTGTAAAAAGAAGACAGCAGCCTGTTATCAATCTTTTGAAGGCAATACAGTTATATGACGTATATCCAATAGACATGTTTGGAAGTAAGTGGTCTTCCACATCCTACTGACTTGGTAGTGAAAACTTAGTATCATGATAACTCATCACTAGTCCTGTAATCTTATTACTATTATTATTTCATGAATAAATGTATTACATCACTCAAGATTAGTTTTCTGATGATATACAAGTTTAGTCTTTGTTTGATGAGACTGTAAAACTTCAACAACTCTAACAGTACGCATAGTAATCGTCTAACTAACGCCAATTACCAGCCAAAGCAATTTTTAGGCTGTAAAAAGGTCAAGGGTGGTCATACTAAAACACGGCATCATTTCATTCAGTCTCTGTTATTCTGAATGATGCAAGTAAATGCAGGCTTCCCAGTAGGGGATCTGTATAACAAATGGTAACGGTGGTTAGAGTCTGTAGGTAAAATGGCTGAAAAACGAGTCCTATCCTAACCATTAATATCATATTTCATCAGTTGTTTTGGTTCCTCATCTTCTCCTATGACTTTTCACGAATCTTGCTTCAATTGCTTGTTGTTTCCCTACCTTTCATATTACTGCTTGATTTCTTGATTTGAGGCTTCGATGTGTGGCAATTTAGGCCGTTGTGAGATCCCAAGTTAATACTCGGTAACTGAGAGTTTCTGATCAGAATGCCACAGTCGCCTAGGTATTCTCTTTCGCTTTTCTACAATAATATCGTTGATAATGATAATGACACTTACTTCTTCAGCCTTCGTTTCCATTTCTCTTTTCAATCTCTCATTTGTATCATGAAGCGAATTATATCGCATAATGAGGCCAATTATAGCATCATCTGCCAGTTTTATGTAATCTGATTTTATAAAAAGAAACATCAGGATGATATGATGGTAGTAGTTTCAAAAAATGAGGTGAAATTTTGTCATATTTGATAATTAAGAGGAATCATGGGATAGAAAGTAGAGTTTTGGGATGCTTAACTTTCTAAAGTAACAGAAAAATCGATAAAAAGGAATTTTTTCTTGGATATGACAACATACGCAGATACACAAACCATTGTATATTCAATATCCGATATCTCAAAAATCAAATTATTCCTAAATATCTACGTCTTTATGCACCAATTCCAACAGATTAAGTCAATAAACTGTATCTTCAGGAAGATATTCAAAGTTGTACAACATCATGAATTGTATCGAAGAGCCTAAATGTAAGCTAATACAAACAGTTAGCGAAAAAGATTATGAACTTCTGCTTGACAGTTGTTATAAAGCAAGATCAGCTGCTTTCAAGCAATCTAAAAATATTCAGATTAAGAAGTTCAACAAACTTATAGAAGAAAGCATACAGGGAACAATAGTGAAATTAACAATAGGACATAACCAACAATCGATAAGTTGAAGTGGGTTGACAATCTCTCAACTAGAGTCCTAAGCTCAACAGAGGTAAAAGTGCTGGAGAAAAGTCCTAACTTCAATGTTGTAGTTAATCAATTGTGAACAGAAGAATTCATTCCCAAAATAGAAATAGCGTTAAGTTCAGTCGATAAGACAATTGAAGCGACAAAAGTGCCTACATCAGCATGTTCTGCCGTAGAGTGTCAGATATAAACCACCGACTAACTGCCCAATGGCATGGAAAATAGCTGGACAAAGTAGAAGGCAAATGGTACAACTAATGATCACAGATGCACACCATCCGATCCGGAAATACCAATCAGTGATTAACAATCAAAAAAGAAAATGAAATTTAATTTATCTGAACTAGTAAAAACTTTCACGAACCTTAAAAATGGTAACAATATAGTAGCTATGAAATGGGATAAAGGCAACTCAACAGTTGTAATGACTGACTACATCTACAAAATGAATGAAGATAAGAAACAGAAGCATATGATGAAATTAAGAAATCAGTGGTTTCTATTATGAATCAAGTTAAGAAATTCACAGATGATCTGATACATCAAATGAAGTTGATTCTAGGTGAGTCAAAATGATTGAATTTAGTGCCTGAAAACTAAATTATCCCAGTAGAATGTATGGTACCATTGAGTTTCATAAGCCAGATTATCCCATCAGACCTATAGTAGATTTTAGAAACACTCCGATTTACGAGGTATCTAAATGTTTAGCAATGTTGCTAGGCCCAATAGGAAATCAATGAAAGTCTCGACTTAATAACCCTTATAACTTAAACCATAGATTAGGTGACATACATTTAGACGACAATGAAAAACGGTTGGTTTTCATATAACTAGCCTTTACACGAATATACCGATTGACAAAGCTCTACAGGCAGTTAGAAATGGGCTTAAGGATTACAATGAACTTACACTTTGAACTAAATTGTTGATCTATCAAATCATACTATAAGTACAATTGTGTTCTACTCTAAAGATATGGTTCCGACTTGTAGATGACACATTAACAGTACTGACATCGGAACACATCAATAAGTTCTTGGCACATATAAATTCAGTAGTGAATGAAATTCAATTTACCTGTGACTTAGAAAGTGATGAAGGTGAGTTGGGAATGTTAGATTGCAAGATTAAACAAAAACAAGATGGAAATTTTGAGACTAGTGACTATAGAAAACCTTCAAGTCATTTCACGACATCTCAATTAAAGTAGACTTACATAAATGTCTTAGTAATAGAGCAAAAACTTACTTCTAGGCAAGAAAATCTATGACAAGAAATTAGACACATCAAGGACATACTGTGTCTCAAAGTAGTCAGTAGTCAGTAGTAGTCACGTGAGTAGTAGTAGTAGTAGTAGTAGTATTAGTAGTGGTACAGGTGTTAATAATGATAATAATTATAATTCTACTCTCCATATTAATAATGGTGAAAGGGTTGAGACAGGATTCAAAGCTTTCACTGTATTACAATACAAGGAAGACACCTTCGAAGCATTGCTAAGTATTCTGTATAGGGTTGGGATTGAAGTGGCATTTCAACTAACAAACTCGCTTAGAAACAAGCTGTGTAAGTTAAAACATCCTATTGTTCCAATTAGACAAAATAATTTGGTTTATCAATTCCCTCACATTGATTTCGAAGTAGTCGACGAGAGTTGATTAGAACAACAGAGCACAAAATTTTAGCTAAATTAAGATTAGTAGTTCCTAACATGATAAGAAATTTAGAAGAAAGCACTGCTATAGCTGTGCATGCAATTACACAATCAAACCATAGGGTGGGATAGAGCGATAGTAATTAAAAACTAACTTAGTTGGGTGGAGGGAGAGGTTGGTAACTGAATCTTTGTTTATCAGATCAGCACCAAATACATGCAATAGGAATGATTCTGTACCTGTCCCAGATAAATGGAGAATTCTACTATCCTTGTCGTCATAAAGAAGGGGAGAAAATTAGGACTATACAAACTATGTTTCAAAGTTGTAGAGCTACGTGATATGGATATGGACAATAAATTGTGTCTGAGATGCTTTGCAGTAAATAATACTGTTTCATTGTGTGAGCTTTCTAATAAACAGACTAAAATGGAATTACAATCTACCAGCCATATATTCGCGAGATATGGCTGAGATCGAAAAACTGAAGACTATTTACAACCCATTAATCACAGATAGTTATCCAGATAAATCCATGAAGTTTGTGTCATTAGTAAACAAGAAACCATGTTTATACGACTAAAATTTACATAAGTACTAGGCGACACAGAAATGTAAAAGTTTGAAACACTTATATACAATTACGCAGGGTAATGATAACTAGGGTTTTCAACACACTGTGTTATGGTGTTATGAAGGCTGAAAGATGAATAACCTAAGCTGGTTACTTCTTGCATTGTTTATCAATTTAACGGCTCTCATGGAACCAGTAATACTAGTCGATCGCCTAGGAAACTAATTTGAAGGTCACGAGACACACTTCACGCGCCGTCGAGAAACAAAACTGTTGTAAAGAACATAATTGGTTCAGTATTAACCTATTTAGTCCAAGCAGATCTTACAGCAAATACCAGTCGACCAGTTTTTAAAATTTGGCATGTTTTCACTAAATTACATCAAATATCGAATATTCTAGGCGATAATAGTTATAGCCATTGGGTTTAAACAGCACGAATTATGTGTAAAAATGAAAGAAGTGCTACATTAAATAGCAGTAACTTGACAACCTTTGGAATCTAAAAATCCCTAGGCATTCTTTTTTTGATTGATTTACTAGATATATCACATAGTGAAATATTATTTTTAATCATTATTATTTATTAGGCTGAATCGAGATTAGTAGATCCTAGTAAGATAAGGAATATAGAGAAAAGCTTGACTTGGAATTATACAAAGTGACTGATTGATGACCGAGTCTTTGTTTATCGAATCAAACATGTGCAACTGGAATAACTCAGCATTTATTTCAGATATGTAAAAATTCTACTACTTATTTCACACAGATGGTGGGAGAATAAGAATCAAATCAACCATGTCTCGAAATTGTGGAGCTACCTTGATATGATCATGGATGGATCAGGTTGTATCTTAGGCGTTATCCCGTAAATAATACTGTTCCACTGTGTAATATGCAATTACATTCTACCACAGTACCCAACCCTTACTCTTATACCTTAGGTGCCTTAATACACATTTCTCCTCTCATAAACTTGAGTAAACCACAACCATATCAGACACTCTCATGAATAATCAATACGATGCTCCCCCATTCCTGATCCAGCCAAATTTGGGCAGGGATAAGTAAACAGCAACAAATCAACGAAAATCCAGATGATAAAGACGTTTAAGAAAGTTTGTAGCGTTTTTGCTGCGTTAAGGATCTTATCCAATAGTTTTAAACCCGATATCTCAATACTTCTACAAATAAATCCATGAAAATTTGTTTATCAGGGTCAAAGTAATACACTGTTGGATGAATCTCAGCTCCACAGTTTTCAAGATGAAATACGAGGAATATCTATCTTCATTTATAGGGTTTGAAAACAATTCACTTTAACTTCCATATTTTCAAAATAGCAGATGCTAAACGGACTAGTAACACTGAAAACTAACCAGGTTCACTATCGTATTTAAAGGTATATTTAAAGATTAGTAAGCTAACAGTATCATGTGGATCAAAATAGCAGATGTTAAACGGACTAGTAACACTGAAAACTAACCAGGTTCACTATCGTATTTAAAGGTATATTTAAAGATTAGTAAGCTAACAGTATCATGTGGATCAAAAATAAAATATGATTTCAGGATCAACCATGCTCACCTGAGAATTCCTTTCAACCTACTAAGAATGATTTTTAGTAGTTATGGTGTTTATGGTTGAAATTATCCTCGTAACTACCTAATTCCGCTCTTTTGACTTCAAAAGAAAGTTGTACAACGGATGTTCAATTTCGTTGTTAGTTCACAAACTACATAGTGTGTGTTTTAAATTTCTAACAGCTGACTGCCTATAGCATCGACAGTATTTCACCGACAAAACATTGGATCAAGTTGGGATTACTGACTTAAAAGTACAGCAAACTGGGTTAACAAAGTCTGTAATTTTTAACATGTTTTTTTTTTCAAAGTTCACAACCTGTAAAGTTGATTGAATTGATTGTTGCAGAAACCATATTGATGCGGAAGTTGCTTGCCTGAAAAACTATCCACTCTCAGGAAAAGTAAGATGAACCGTAGAGGTTGTGAATCTCACAATTTATCGTTCTCATGTCATTGTCATGGAAATTTATGACAATAACATTCGAAATTTAGTCCACGTATGACTACTTGAATTCATTGAATATTTACCATTATTCACTGTCAGTTATCTGATCTGCGAAACTATTACGAGTCACATTCATGCAAAACTTTGCATACGTATAATTGTTTATGTGT